CAATGTTTACGTGACCGTCACGGCGTAACCACGACTTCTGCATGACATTTGCTATGCATCTTCCCAAAAATATCCTTCGACTTTTCTCATTGACCTGCCTAGCCTATCGTTTTAAGGTCTTGGTCCACAGCTTTCTAGAAATAGAATTTTGGAAATTGTTAAAAAAAAAAAGAAGGAAACTTGACTTTAGGAAATTTTTTTTCTAACACGCAAATCCAAAAGGTTGTTGGTTATATTGGAATATAATTGTGGTGAATTATTTAAACGGGTGGAAACAAAATTATGGATATAGCTTAAATGTATCAAAATTTCAAATGCAAGCCAACCGAGTTTACTGTTTCTAATGACAGGACATTTCTTGACGATGACTGTGCATACTCATTCATAATTGTGTGGCATTTATTATGAACCTTCCTGGAAATATTCTTTTTTTATTTTTTCTTTCTTATCGACCTGCCCACTACATTAAGGTTTTTTTCTTTGGTAATGATGAAAAATTTTGTAGATAGTTCAGTTAAGTTTTAAAAAAAATTTAATTCAATACAAAAACTAGTCATTTTAATCATAAGAGTAATAAGAAGCACAAAAAATAGAATAGAAATAAAATCACGTGGAGAAGAGAAAAAGGAATCCAAGGCAAAGAAAAAACAGCTAGCAACGCAGAAGAAGTAGATGAAAAAGGAAAAAAGCCACAAATTGAGAAAATATAATTCATTAGTTTAAATTAACAATAGACTAATAAAGTAAAGTTTTTTTTTCTTAAAATTATTTAGACATGCATGAATTGATACATATGTGATAAGTTTAATTCTCACACATATTATTGTATTAATTTTTCCTTTTGGAAGAAATCAGAAATATTAGGGCTGAATTGTAGAAGAACAATTTGAAAAAGAGAAAGTTGAAATCAAGGACCCAGATGAATAAGAAAAACGTGTAAAGATCAAAGTGCAGAAAAAGTTAAAGTTGACCAGCAAAGTTTTACCCATAAAAAAAATTGCTTCTTAGTCCAAAATCCCGACACGGACATTCTTCTTGTAGATTGAGGGGCGGTGCCCACACATGTTATTAAGGTGTCCATACTTGGGGATTTTCAGCATATATTCACACAAAATTCTACTTATTGTGGCATCAGTCCCACTTCTCTTTTAAGGTATATTTAAGTCCTATAAATGCCTATTTATTTTAATCTGTTGATTTTTTAGTTTGAACTTAAACCTTAATTTCTTAAGTAAGTTTGTTAAGTTTGAGGAATATATAAATAATCCTAATCCTTCTCAAATAATTTTTACAGTCTAATATAAAAAAAAATTAAGAACCTTATTCTTCAATTTTTTTTCACAAAAACCTATGTGGCAGTAATTTAATTTAGAATATTTATATGGGCTGAATGTGAAATAATGCTTGTTTTCATGTATTTTACACTTCATCCTTCAAGTCCTTCTTATTGATACAATAAGATTTTTTTGCTGATTTCACCTGCATTTGCTAAGCATCTTCCAGGAAATGCACTTTCATCCTTCAAGTCTTTCTTTTTTATACAATAAGATTCTCTTGTTGATTTCATTTGCATTTGCAAAGCATCTTCCAGGAAATGCATCATGCTATTGCGTACTGCCTATTTAAGTTCTTTCTTCTCCATAGTTAACTATGCATTGGCTCATAAACTCATCGCATCAGAAATTGAACCTGCTGCTACTTCTAACAATTTGCTTTGCAAGGCCCAAGTTGGTTATCAATGTCCAACTTTACCTATTTCTTCTGCTAATCTTGCATTGTAAGTACACCATCTATCTATCTTCAAGATTCTGTTTATTTTTTCTTTAATATATATCTCAGTGTTTCTTGTGGATTAATTCATGACCATATTATCAGATTTAGTTTATGTTTTCTTCATTAATTCTTTTCATATTCTCATTATCATTATATTTTTTTTCTTTTTTGAGCAATTTGTTAGATTCCTCATTTTCATATTTTGTGCTTTTACTTAGTAATTAATTAGTAGCCACTTAATTAATTGATACTTTATTTGAGGTCTCTCTCTTTTTCTACTTATCATTTCAAGAAAAGTAATATAAAAAGGTATATCTTTTTATGATCTTATTGGAATTATGTTTTTCTTTTAGAATATTCATCAACGTTTTTTATAAGAAAGAATAGACTCAAAATTGAAATCGAGCAGATCTACTATATGCCACCTTTAATTTTGTGGCCTAATTTGTTTCTTAGTGTCTAATTTTTTTAATACCTTTTTCGAAACCTATAACTCCTTCTATTATGCTCTCTTTTAAGTATAAAATGAAAAAGTATATACATTTTTATTGGTCAAAGAAATAAAAAAATATTCTTAAATGTTGTAGTCTCGTGCCATAGATTTTTATTGGTTGTTTTGGAATTATTAATTATTTTGAAAACTTTGACCTACCATAAATGAAATTTAACTAAATATTTTTTAATTAGAATTTCATTGAATTGATGTAAATATAAGATTTTTTTTTAATTAATATTCTTCTTTTAGATTCTTATTTTCAATTTCTTTTTTTTTTTAAGCAAATTGTTAGATTACTTATTGTCCCATTGTATGATTTTACCTAATTATTTTATAGCTATACATTGAGGTCTCCTTTCTTTTAGACAATTAAAGTAAATTAATATAGAAGAGTATGCCTCCCAATGATCATATTTAAGTCGTATTTTTCATTTCAGAAAATATCCATCAATCAAATCTATGAAAGAATAGACTTGCAATTGCAATCAAAGAAGATCTGTTGCACGCTACTTATAGGCCCAATTTGTTTCTGTGACAAATTTCATGGATATCTTCTTCTAGAGCCGCAGGTACATACAATTCCTTCTGATATATTCTTTTGAGGTATAAAAATGAGAGTAATTTTTGTTTTTTCTATATAGACTGCATAAAAAAATATCTTTTAAATACTAAAATTATCAAAAATAACATTAATAAAACTTCAATCCATATTAACTCATTAATAACGTTTTAGTGGTACAGTTGATGCCGTAGGAACTGAACTCATCAAATAAAAGGGTATAAAATACAAATACAAGTGCCGTCTAAGGTATAAAATAAATAATTCTCTGATACTATGTAATTACTATATATATAATGTTGGCCAAAACTTAAATAGTACTTATTTTAAAATTAATTTTTTTTATCACTATTTTAAAAATTTGTTGGAAGAGAATTAAAAAATTCACTTTTAATATAGCTTTTAAATAAATTATGGTGTCGATTCTCAATTTATGATAATAATTCTTATTTATTTAAGAAATAAATGATATTAAATTACCATATTAATTATGAATTTATATAAATGTTAGAAGGTCATTTATTATTTAAATAATAATAATTTTTTTAAAAATAAAAATAAATATGATAATTAAGATTTAAAAAT